AAAACAGGATTGTGTATGTTATGATATGTATTGATAAGTAGTTATAGTCTTCGACTTACAACCATTCATTTAATGACTGTTTGAAGTTACAATGGCAATGAAAAAAGTGACTTATGGTCGTTTTTCACACTTATGATCATTGCAGCATCCTTATGGTTTCACAATCAAAGTTCGAAGGTTTGACAACTGGCATGTATTTATGACAGTTGCAGTGTCCCAGAGTCATGCAATGTCCCTTTTGCAACCTTCTGACAAGCAAAGTCAATGAGGAGGCCAGATTCACTTCACAACTGTGTAACTAACTTAACAACTGCAGTGATTCATTTAAGAACTGTGGCAAGAAAGTCGCAAAATGGGGCAAAACTCACTTAACAACTGTCTAACTGGGGTGTGGAAATTATGGCCTCAATTGTGGTGGTATCGGAAAGTCGAAGGCTACCTGCATTTATGTTAGGGAAAAACAACCTCGTGCTATTTAAAAGATCTTGGAAACTGGAAGTGGCTTGGCCTTTACAGGACAGGCTATCCAGAGGGCAGGAAACCAACATCCTGGTCCGGCAGGGCTTTTTATCAAGCAGAAATAAAAACAGAATAGAAAACAGAACAGAATAATTAATAAGAATAGACTATAGAGAGTGGAATGGAATATAGAATAGTATAAATAATAGGATAAGAATATAGAGTGGAGTGGAATGGAATAGAATAATAGGAATAGAATATAGAGAGTAGAGTGGAATGGAATATAAATAGGAATAGAGTACAGTGGAATGGAGTATAGAATAATATAAATAATAGGAACAGAATATAGGGTGGAGTGGAATATAAACAATAGGAATATAGAGAGTAGAGTGGAATGGAATATAGAATGATATAAATAATAGGATAAGAATATAGAGTGGAGTGGAATGGAATAGAATAATAGGAATAAAATACAGAGAGTAGAGTGGAATGGAATATAAATAGGAATACAGAGAGTACAGTGGAATGGAATATAGAATGATATAAATAATAGGAACAAAATATAGAGTGGAATGGAACAGAATAGCAGAGTTGGAAGGGACCTTTGAGGTCTTCTAGTCTAACCCCCACCTCAGGCAGGAAACCCTATACCCTTTTCAGACAAAGCGTTGTCCAATCTCTTCTTAAAAATCTTCCAGTGTTGGAGCACCCACCACTTCTGGTGGCAAAGGGTGTGGGGGGGGGGGGGGGGGGAGGCTCAGTTTGCATAACCCCGTGTTCATAAGCTAAGCAAACACACTGGCCCAACCGGCTCTGCCTCGTAAGGTCATTCCTCTCTTCCTCCCCTCCCCCCCCCCCCACCCCCCCCCCCCTTCCCAACCCCTACCGCCAACCCCCCCCCCCCCCCCCCGGCCTTTTTTTTCTTTCCTTTCTCCCCGGGCGGGACGCGGGCCAAGCGCGCCGGGGGACCCCCCCCCCCCCCCCCCCCCCCGCCCCCGCGTGCAGACCTTCCCCGAACTAGAGGGGAAGGCGAACCCCCCCCCCCGGGGAAATATAACGCAGCTTAATGCGCGCGCAGGGGGCTGCGTTCACAAGTCGGGGGGAAGAGGGGAGGGGGCTCTGCGGATGTCCTGCTCTTTTTCCTCCCCTCCCCTCCCCCCCGCTCACAAGCGGTTGAGGGACGAGCGGTGGATCCGAAAGGGCCCGGAGGAAGGCCGGTACCCCCCCACACCACACACACACACACTCATCCCACTCCCCGCCTCAGGCAGAGACGCCTCAAGCCTTCCTTTCCGCTCGCCTCAGATGAGCTTCTTTGCCCGCCACCGCCTCGGCTCCGGGCAGCCGCTTCCTTCCGCGCGTGTTAATGCACCGGCCCCTGCCCTTCCTCGCCCCCACCCAGCCACCCACCCGCGTCCGCTTCTTTCCCTTCTTCGGCCGCTCGGCCCTCCCTCACCAGCAGGTTAGTGCTCCGGTTATCGCCCTCCGCCATTTTGTGCGGCAGCCGCAACGCGCCTCGTCGTCCCGTCGCTCCCTGGCCTTCACCGCTGCCACGCCACGCCCCCCGCTTTTCCGAAGCACCGCCTCTCCCGAGGGCCACGCCGCTTTCTTATTGGACGGGAGCCCTCTCTGTTTTGATGGAAGGCGGGCTCGGTCGCCTGCTTTTCCTTTCTGCCGTTGCTCGGGTTGGCGCGTGAAAAGGGAGGGGGGAAGGAGGCAGACAAGAAAACGCCTTTTAACGGCTGAGGGAAGTTGGCGGACGCCTGCGAGGGGGTTTGAACTCCAGCACCCATGGGCCCCAGCCAGTGGGCATGATGGGAATTTTCCTCCTACCTTTTGAATAAGTTTGCAATCTAAGTACTTGTGCACCTATTAGGTGGCTCAGTGAAAATGTTGACTGTTGCAAGTACTTTAAAGGTTGAGACGGATAATGTTACCTAGATGGGTAATGAAACGTCTGCAAGAAAACAACCAAGCTCAGAGACCACCAAGGATTCGATATTTCCCCTAACTGGGTCAAATTAAATACTCCTTTTAGAGGACGTGATTCGAGAGATAAATCAGTGAGGAGGTGCTTTCCAATGCATCTTTATACTTTGCACATCACCACAAACCAGAACCTGCATTCAACAGGAAAGGGGTGTGATCTAAAAGCAAAGCACAACAGGAGAGTGAAGCATACTAGTTTTCACCTTGTATTCAAGTATTTTTGTGTTTTTGAAGGATATACTCCTGACCTGCAAGTGGGCAAAACTTTACACTGCAAAAAAAGTGGGGTGAGGGGTGAGAAAACGGCAACTTTTGTATAAGTTCATTTGTGATTATGCATTCCAGAGGGGGGGAACCATACCTTTAACAGTGGTTCATGCAACACTCTCAAGTACAACATTAAAAAATACCCCATTGAAATTGTTTTGTTTTTTTTACTCCACATGAGCAATGTGTAAAATCAGATCTTCCAGGAACAAAACTTTCTGAAGAATAATTCCAAAGCCTTCTATTCCTCTTCTACCCGTGCCAACAACCAGCCAATCTTCGGGACCTCTGAAGCACAAAATGCCACTGGCACAGCAGAGGATTAACCTACAAAAAGCTGAAATCTGGAACAGGCTGTGGAGGAACAAAAGGTTGTCTTTTCTAAATTAATTCAGAGATATGAGAGGTGTTCCTATATGTCCTGTGTATAACTGGGAATTTAGGAGAAACTCTGTGTGATAAGATACATTAAAGTTCCAATCTGTTTTCTGTGTGCTTGTCAAATGATGGGATGAGATTTTTGAAATATTCCAAGTTGGTTCAGAGTTGCCCAAAGGTACTTATAATCTTCCAGTAGAGAAATCCCAAAAGTGGGTTTTTTCCCCAAAGGCAATTGGACTCTTGCTTTTTTCTTTGAAAACATTTCGCTTCTCATCCAAGAAGTTTCTTCAGTTCTAGTAAAACTAAAACTAGTAGAACTAGAACTAAAGAAGCTTCTTGGATGAGAAGCGAAATGTTTTCAAAGAGAAAGCCCAGTTGCCTTTTTGGGAAAAAAAAAAAAAACACCTTTCCAATAACCATGGTCTGGGTGATTGAGAATCTCCACAGACAGTAGAGCAGCTTTCGTACTCTGAAACTTGTTTCCAAAAGAAAGAAACAAAGCCATACAGGGAATTAATACAGGTAGATTTTTTTTTAGTTTTATTACATTATGCAGTAAAGATCCCATTCGGTACAAGTTTCATTTTTGAACAAAAGTATAAGCATACATGAAACACGGGTGTAAGTGGCCTGTTCCACTCACAGCTTCCAAGAAATAAAATATGTAATTCTCTTATCCCAACTGTTGTCCATATGCAGACTGCCAGTTAATGATGCTTCACGCTGGGAAGGATAACAACAACACTGCAGTCACCAGCTGGATGAATTCCGACTCGGCTTTTTAAGAGAAATTCAGTCGTCTCTTCATTTTTGCAAAACGTGGCAAAGGGGTTAAGAGTATCAGATCCAAATACATTTACTCACAAGCATTAGCAAATATGTTGTCAGTGCACACGACAATTCAGGGCAAGTTACCAAAAAATGAAAGACAAAAAGCCTATATGAAAAATAGATAACAGCATCAAATCAATCTTTAATCAGATATTTTGAGGAGGTCAAAACGTTTTTTCCCCCATAACAGCATCAAGTCAATTCTTTATCAGATAGCCCTAAGGAAGCCAAAAGATTTTCTACATTATAAAATACTGGTAATAATCTTTTTTTTTAAAAACTCCTCATTTATGTCATAGGCTGTTTTTAAAAGAGAGGCCCAAGCGTTACCTCTGATGAATAGCTGAGCATTCCTGTGCAGGAATATTTCCTCCTCCCTTGAAAAGCTTTTTTAAATCTTCAAAATACTACAGAGACTATGTGCAGAATCCTGATTTGCTCTTTCAAATTAGATTTTACAGGGGTCGCGGGGGGTGGGGAGGAAAGGTGTGAGCCCTTCAGGTGTCAAGTCCACGGACACCACCAATAAGTGAATCAGGAAGCAGCCCGATTCTTTTTTTTCCTTAGGCAACACTAAAACCAGCTCGCGAGTAACGAAATTTTTATTTTACAGCCAAGCCAAAAACACTGAAGATGTATGGAAACAGACTGGTTTAAAGTGCCTTTTCAAAATAAGCAACGTCTCTCACACCCACCATTCAAAAGTGCACGGTAGATTTAGGAAAATGGGTTGGGGGGAAAAAAGTCCACGATGAAATCTATTATACAGAACACTACCTCTTGGAAGTCTTATATGGAAAAATAACGCCACAAAAAATCTTTATACGATTTTATCTGAACCAAAGAGCCCACCTCCCTCCCCCCCCCCCCCCCAAAGTCCAGTATATACACCTGCCTTTAAATCCCCAGATCGAACTGGAAACACTCTTACGTTCGTAAATCAAAAATTCAAAGTGAATCAGCATAAAACTACCTCCACTAAAACTTCACTTTTATTGATTTTTTTTTTCTGTCAACAACAACATAAAAGGCTACTTAAGTTATTTGTAGTTGCTTTTTTTTTCTTTTTTCCCTTTTCCCCTTCCTTGTTGCAAAAGGTAAAAAGTTACATCGGAGTAGCTACGTTTACAAAAGAAACTACAGCAAATCACAACAGAATGAGCTTGGTAGGCAGACCGAGGATTGAATTGAACAAAGGAGTACGCACTGCAAGCAGGAAGAGGAGCAGAAGGGCATTGGATGCCTGTTCAGTGTATTATTTGAAATGCACAGTGAATCCGGGGAAACTGTACATGATAGGATCACCAAAAGGAAAGCAGGAGAAAAAAAAACCCTCGCTTTAAAAACCAACCCCTCAAAAATTGCATTGGATCAGCCCGTTCAGAAGGCAATGGCTTTTAAATGTTCAGCACTCCCTGTGTGAGGGGTTTTTGTTTTGGTTTGTTTTGTTTTTTGGGAAATTTGGCTCGCCCAAACAAAAACCAAAGATCCCTTTGACTGAAGAGTGAAATACCAAGGACTGAAATTAACATGTCTTTTGGGGGAAGGGTGGGAGGGAGGAAGAAAAAGAAAAAAATAATAACCAAACTAAGTTAAAGAGAAGAAACCAGGAGGGATAAAAAAAAAAACTTGGGAAAAAAAAGACATAAGGCTCTCTTCTCAGAGGATTCTTCCAATACGGCTGATGTACAGCTTTTTTTCTTTTCTTTTGCATTTCAGTCTATTTCTGAAGTTCATCTTGTGCAGCTGTTTTTTTTTTTCCTCCTTTTCCCCCCCTTTTATTTATTTATTTATTCGTTTTGCACCAACTGGTCGACTCAACCAGCGCCGTTGCTGAGCAACTAAAGAGCGACAAGGAACTCAATCTCTCAAAATCTTCCTCTGCTGCAGATTCTTCACGCCCTGCCCTCCTTCCTTTTATTTTATTTTTTTTCCCCGCCCGGGGTGGAGGGGGAGGGCTTGTTGTTGTCATCGTCGTCATCATCGTCGTTGGTTTTTTTTCCCCCGCATTGTTCACAGGGTCAGGTGGAACGGAGTTCCAAATCACTCTGCGGTCTGTAGCGTTTCCCAAATTCCCTTTCTGCAGCTAGTAGTCCCTCCCCAAAACCCTGGACACCTTTTGCAGTTCTTCTGGAGCAGAAAGACGGCCCTGTGTGTTCAGGCGATGAGCTTCCACACGCTTGACCCTGGAGGGGTAGGAGGGGGTGGGGGGAGAGAAGGGGAGTGGGTGGTGGGGTGGGGGTGGGGGGGTTCCAGGCCATTGTGTTTAGCATATCCCTGAGTGCAGCTACTCTGTAGGGCTGACGTTCCCAGTGCACCGAGATTGCTGAGGTCTCCTCACAGTAAGCCCCAGAAAGGCGTTACCACCAGCTGTGGTGCTGCTATGGAGGCCCGGTTGATTCTGATGGATGCCGCTCGCCTCGCTGAACCAAACTGACCCGATCTCGTCCTGTATTCATACCCAGGCTGTCCAACCTTCATACAGCTGAGCCAAGTTATCTAGATTAGTGGCTTCCTTAATCACATAGTCAACCTAAGGAAGGGCAAGTCAGGAAGTTAGAGGCTTTCTTGGGCAGAACCGCTTCGATTAGAAAAACCCACCCGCCTCCCCTAGGCTCCCTAAGGAGGGCAGGGGGGAAATCAGCTTTAAAAACAAAATTCCAATATTCGTCCACTCCTGCTACACACAGTGTAATAGCTCTTGACTTATGACCACAATTGGTATGGGAATGTCTGTCGCTAAGTGACAGACGTGGTCGTTAAGCTGAGCTGGCCCCTATTTTATAACCTTGTTGGCATGGTCATTTAAAGGAGTCCGGCTTCTCCCACTGGTTTGGCTTGTTGGAAGCCCGCCCCCCCCCCAAAAAAAAAATCGCCAATGGTGATCACGTGACCAGATACTGCAAGCGGGCCAAATACATGCTAGTTGCCAAGTGTCCAGGTTTTGTTCGTGCGACCACAGGGATACCATCATGGTCGTAAGTGCAAGGACCTTATCGTACCTTTTTTTTCAGAGACATTGTAACTTTGGGTGGTCATAAGTCAAGGACTACCTGTACAACGGGGACAAGCATAAAAGATGTCCCAGAGGCCCCTCTCTAAGAGCTCTTTTTAACCAAAGGGCTATACCCAGAAAAACGAAGGTGGTCTAATTTTGTGTCTAGATCTGTCCAGGAGCGGGCAGTTTGAAATAGTTTAGTGTATCAGGAAGTCAGCGTGTCCCATTGACAGTGTGGTTAAGGAGCTGACATATTAAACTGTAGCCTTGATATACTGTAGATCAGGGGTGTCCAACCTTGGCAATTTTAAGACTTGTGGACTTCAACTCCCAGAGTTCCTCAGCCAGC